CCCCCCCCCCCCCCAAGCTGCTCCTACCTCTGCCAGGCCCTGGCTGAACGGTGAAGTCCATGCCTGCACCCAAGCCAGCCAGGCGGGCAATGCCAAGCCCGTGGCCCCCTCCCCGGCCTGGCGCTGAGCGTGCCCCGGCCTGGCAGGAAGCTCGAAGAGCAGGAAGTGGCGAGCAAAGCCACAAGGCACGGGTGAGCAGGAGAGCATGACGTCACGGAAAAGCAGCCCGCAGCGGGGGAATGCTCCCCGCCCCTATCTGGGGCAGGTGGCTGAGATGGGCCCGGCTCAGCCAGGTCGGGGGTGGCCCCCACATGCATGGGTATGAGGGGTGGCTGAAGGGGCCTGGGTCTTGCTGGCATCAGGCTGCTCAGGGCCCCAGATCAGGGGCTTCCACAGCAGTGCAGAGGCTGGACCCCTGCATGAGAGCTCTGCCACTGCCTCCTTGCATGCCCTTGGTCACATCACTTGTGTCACCAGGCTTTGGTGCATCCAGGGGTGAAATGGGCAGGGGCATCTCAGCTCCTTGGAGCCAGCTGTGATCCCACTGAAGTAGGGACTCTCTGCTGTTGGGTGGGGGTACACCCCCTTGCCATTGTACGGTGCTGGAGCAGGAGGTAGGGGCACAGACCTGGGTGTCTTCTGGACTAGAGGGACATGGTGCCTAGCAGGTAGAGACAGGTAATAAAGCCAGACAAGCTGCAGCGGGACAGGCCATGGGCACAAAGCAGGACTGCGAGATGCAAAGGGCTTGGGACTTCCAACCTCAGCAGGTTTCCTGGGGACACAGGGAAGGGGCCAGATCTCACAGACCAGCCCGGGTTTCCTAGGGCTCAGCACAGCTCAGCACTCCAGTGAAGGCTCACCAAGCCGTGTTTGCCCAGGGCTGGAGTGGCAACAGGAAGGGAGAAGTCACCAGGTGGGGAGGCCTGGGGCTCTGCGGTTACAGTGCCATTCACTGTTTGTTTTGGGGGGGAGGAGTTTTCATTAATAGACTTTCTTTTCCAGGCCAAATCCCTTTCTGAATTAAGTTTGACTGAATAGATCTCAATCGTTCCAGTCTGTGCGGCACTACCACCAGCCAGCCCCTACCTCCCTGGGGCTTCAGATGCTCCCAAATCCATGACAGGTACCTACATGCAAGCCCTGAGTCTGGAGGCTTTGGGGTCCAGCTGCCCCCTGGTGTCACTTGCCCTGAGCCAGAAGGAGCAAGCTGGAGGGAGAGCCCAAGAGCAACTCCCCAACACCAGGAATTGTGTAGTAGAGATCCTGGCATTGGAGGCTTTTGCGGGGGTGCACCAAGTCATGTAAGGCTGAGAAGAAGCAGCTCTCCCCTTCCAGGCTGGTAAAACCACCCTCTCCATCTACACATCCCAGGTGTTGCACACTTAACTGCTTAGTTGTGCCCTTCTGTAAGATCAGCTACATGGGTGTGAGCCTAAAGTCAGGGGCAGGGAGAGCCAGGGTGCAATCCAGCCTGGGCTGCTCCCTGGCTTAGGTGGGCAACCGAGCCAGGATTTCTGGGGTCTAGGTCCTGCTCTGGTTACAGGGCATCTGGACACCTGGGTTCACTCCGGACCTCCTGTGACTCCTCTCCCCAACTGCAAAGGGAGGACAGAGCTGATGTCTGGGCTGGGCATTTTTTCCCCCCACAGATTCACAGAAGTTTAGGGCCTGAAGGGACCTTGTGGCATCATCGGGTCCAGCCCCCAGCTCTGGGCAGGAAAGACTGTTGGGGTCAAATAACCCCAGCAAGGTGTGTGTCCAGTCTCCTTTTGAATATCTCCAGGGTAGGTGCCTGCAGCACCCGCGCTGGGCGTCTGTTCCAGAGTCTGATCACACGAACCATGAGGAAGCTTTTCCTCATATCCAGCCTGAAACCATCTTCAAGAAGTTTATGACTGTTGCTCCTGGTTTTCCCCTTGGGCACTTTGGTGAACAGTTGTATGCCTAGCGCCTGATGCTCTCCCCTGATATACTTGCAAGCTGCCACCAAATCCCCACAAAGTCTTGTCTTTTCTAGGCTGACCAGTCCTGTATCTGTCAGCCTCTCCTCGCATGGCTTGCTCTTCAGGCCTCTAATCATCCGAGTGGCTCTTCTCTGGACTCTCTCAAGCTTTTCCACATCCTTCTTGAAGTGCAGCACCCAGAACTGGACGCAGGTCTCCAGCTGTGGCCTCACCAGTGCCGAGCAGAGCAGGAGCAGAACTTCCTTAGCTTTGCTTGAGAGGCATTGGCTGATGCACGCCAGAGTATTATTTGCTCTGCTAACTGGAGCAGCACACTGCTGGCTCATATTCATGTTATGGGCTATTATGACCCCCAGGTCCCTTTTGGACATGGAGCACCACCGAGCCTGGAAGTTTGTGGGGGATTTTTCCTCCCTAGATGGAGCACTTTTCACCCCTCAGTGCTGAACAGCATCTGGATCCAGTCTGCCCACCTAACTAATCTGTCTAGGTGTGCCTGGATCGTCAGCCTACCCTGCTGTGTGGCTGCACCTCCCCACTGCTTAGTGTCATATGTTTGAAATATATATAGTTATAGTTATATATAGTTATATGTATACTCACACATTGGCTAGCAGAACCTTTTCTTCACACACTTTAAACCACATTTAAAACCCACATACACATTACAATAAATGCTTCCAGCACTTGTTTGCAGTCCTTTCTGGGCTGGGCTGGGCTGGGCTGGGCTTCCCTGGGGCTGGACATGCTCTCCAGGCCCCGGCGGTGTGGGGAATGGAGCCGTCTTCACCCAGTTTGATTCCAGCTCCTTGTTTTTTGGGGAGACTTTTCCAGGCTGCCCAGGCAGGGAGCAAGAGATCCCACTGGCACCAGCCAGTTTGCTTTGCAGAGACCGTGGGACTGAGTGCAGAGTGGCTGGGGGCAGAAAAGAGGTAAAACCAGGTCATTTTGGCACCCAGATCCCCCACACAGTGGAGGCTCCTCTCTCCCACCTTGCACCCCTGGCCGGCCCTGGGAACAAGGCATCGCTCCTTGAGTGCTGCACAGCGTGATGCCAGGAGCCCGAGTGGTGGCTGCAGGGGCTGGACGTCTCCTGGGACCACCCCCCTCTGCATCTCCCCCAGGGGCAGGGGCAGGGGTGTGCCCCACCCCACCCTGCAGGGGAGCAGAGCCGGACAGTATGTTAATAGTTTGCCTTGTGGAGCAGGTTTCCTGTTTGCAACCCCCGCCCCCCCCGCAAAGGCGGCCGAGAAAGGGGAAGAGCCGCGGCGGCGGCGGCGGCGGGGGCGGCGCCTCGGGCGGGGGCTAGTGCTGCGCTGCGCCGTGCG